TGTGTGTGTGTGTGTGTGTGTGTGTGTGTGTGTGTGTGTGTGTGTGTGTGTGTGTGTGTGTTTGTGTTTGTGTTTCAGGAGAACATGTCCAAAGATTCAAACACCCACTCGTTCAGCTCCTCATCAGTCATGACATATTCCAAGGTTGGAAATGAGCCTCCCAAAGTGTTTAAAGCAACCTCGACAACACGCCGTGCCCCTGGAGGGGTGAGTCCTCCATTAGATATGTTACAGTATTACTACAGTATCACTGTCTTTAAGAGCACAGGTCAGTACTCTGAGCTTGGAGAAGTAAATATGTCCTCAGAAGACTCACTATGTCACTATATCCCTCTTGAGTGCTGATGGTTATATGTTCCCCCTGTTCCGTCAGAGTGTACCATAAATCCTTTTGGAGATTCTTCGTGGACCAACTGATGTGTCTGATTGGTTTGTTAATGTTTCAATCACCAGATCAAGGAGACCCGGCAAGCAGTTAAAGACTCTGAGAGCGGTCTGGAGAAGATGTCAATCGGTCACCACATCCAAGACAGGGGACATGTTGTTGAAAAGAAATACAACAAGAAAACAGGAGAGAAGGAGCTCAACCAGGACTTTCAGAACATGGATGAATGTACGTTGAAGTGGTAGAGTTGTTACGTTTCCTATGACCAGTTGCTTTGTAATTGTAGAGGGTCCAGCACATAGATGTATATAAAGATGGAAGATGCTTCTACACTTCTTCTCATTGTACAAAAAGGAAGCTTAAGTATCCAGCCTATAATGGGTCAGTCTCAGCTGTCAGTCACCTGACGTGTCACCTAGATTTTTATAGCGACAACTACGGTAATTCAAACCAAACTTACCTGAAAAATAAACTGTGTGGAAAGAACTACCTAAAATGACAGAAACAATCTCTGGGAAAAAAATATTTAACATGTACTTTGACTTTTTAGTTTGGTCCATGTTCCATCCACTAATACGGAGGAGGCAGGGTTTATGATCTATACTGCACCCAGCCAGCAGGGGACGATCGAGATGACTTGGCTTCTCTTTTGGGGAGCTGTCATGTCGTCTATCTTTATATACAGTCCAATAATCCAGCCATTGTTGCACTACAGAAAAAATGCAAATGCGTGAAGGAGCGATTTCATTTCAGAGATCATCCTGGAAGTAATGTGACATTTATCATTTGGAAAATCAAAATACATCTAATCATGTACAATATTTCAAAGCTAGACACCAGTGTCAGTGCTGGTTTATTACCCAGCCACAGTTTGAGGACCATCTTTAGCCCTTCAGCATTTTTCACACAGACTAAGTGGAGTGGAGTCTGATCAGATCGTGCATGTTAAGCAAACCAGCCAGTCAAACCCAGCACTGCCCCACTATATAAATCTACTGTCTAATTTGGTCCTGTTCCTCCACCCGCAGCTGAAGCACAGTCTTTTGACGATGAGTGGCAGCAGGAGTTGACCAAGTTCCAGCCGTCCGGCCCCATGTCTCGTCTGGAGGAAGCTCGGCCCCGTGCCGTTCACCGGGCGGCCCTCACAGGTCCTGAGCAGGCCCACAGGTCAGTGTGGAACGCTCAGGCTACATGCTGAGCGTGTTGATGACAGGCCAGAATCCACAGATCAGGTTCAAATGACAAACAATTGGCAGGCGACTAATAGCATCCATATGCAGTACATTTTGCTAAGTATAGTGTTCTCATGTTATGATACTGCTGTTAATGAACTGCGATTGTTTTCTTTGTTTTTATCTTCCTCAGAGACCAGTCAAAGGGCAAAGCTGAGGGTAAGAGGAACATGAAAGGCTCGGGCTCGACAAAGCAGTGAAACCATCTGTTTCTGTGCTCATTAAAGTCTTTCAGGCATCATACAGTACACACTGGTGCTCTGTGTACACACATGCACACACACACACACACCCTGGGTTCATCAACAAGGTAAACAGAATCAGAAGGCACTGATCTAAAATTTGAAATATTTAACAGACTGTACATTTTGTATTGCTGCTGCTCATTTTTCAAATCCTACACTGCACAATACTGAATCAGTCATCTTGCTGCTGATTAACACCTGCTGTAGATGGCTGCCCCATTACACTGGACATTTATTCATATTTTTCAGGGATCACATTTCTCCTCTTTTACTGTTAAAGGAGACATATGATGCTTTGTCAGTTTTGCCCGAGCGATACCTCCCTGACGTGACATCACAGTGTCCCACACTGGCATAATGCATGGCTAGTGGCTTGTCTGGCACGCCCCCAACAAAGCCAGGTAAAGCGGGAGGCCGACATTTCCTACATGTGCTTGAAGCAGTTGACCAATCAGAATAGAGTGACCGAGCTGGCCAATCAGAGCAGACTGGGCTTTGCCGGGCATTTGCTGAAAACAGGAGCTGCAATGGACAGTTTGAGGAAAGTGATGTGGTTTCTGACTATCTGAACAGCATGTAAACCTTTTTACAAAATAACCCAAAGAAAAAAGATGAACCTGAATATGAGCATAATATTTCTCCTTTGACGTTTCGAACCTTAGCATCTTTCACACTTGAGTTTAAATTGATAAAAATAGTAAGAGGAGTTTGGTGAGGTAGTGAAAATGATCTAAAATCCTATGATAAGCTTTGGAGAATGGTTGATAGGAACATGAAATACATGTGACAGAGTGTGTTGCCAACAAGTAAAAGGCTCATAAGTAGTTCTGTGGTTGTAACGATGTTGAAACACATTTTAATAAACTAATAAGATACATAAATGTGAGGCCATAGGCACTGTTTATACCATTGGACATGAAGCAATGTATAATTATCGTCGTGGATCAGATGAATATAACATGCTCTAGGTGAGAAAATCTTGTGATGTCATCTGTTTCTCACATTCTGTCATTTTCATACTGAAACAAGACACAAAATTAATAATATATCGAATTTCTGAAATCCACTAATGCACTTAGACAATGTCTCAATTGTCTTTTTGTAATTATATTGTCTAGTACCTGATGTTCTCGATAGATGTATTTTATCTGCTGTAATCTTTGTAAAAAGAAAAATAATACTCTTCCCTTTTTATATATTGTTACTTTGGTTTCTCTACTTTTTCATCTGATGAACTGTGCAGCGTAGCAACGTCTGGATTATTTTCAATAATTCAAGCTTTGTTCTTGTATATTTGTTTTCAAGGTTTTCAAACCAAAGTCCTGTGCCAACACAGACTATCGTCTGAAATTAAAAAAATGTGAAAACACTAAGATTAATCTGGTGTTTTGTTTTTAATCAACACCAAACTAGGTTCCTGGTTCAGCTTGATATTCACTGAAAAGGAAGAACGGGAGAAAAAAAGGTAACTGAATAACTGCTACTGAACAACTCTGTTAATGTCGGTCAAGTGGTTCATGAGCGTGTGAGCCTGCGTTGTGTTGTCTGTCAGTAACCCAGGGTAGTATTTTTGGATCTAAGCACTTGTCAGTAGCTCAGATTGGTCTGAGATGTTACACAGCTGCGAGCCCAACATGTTCCCCTCTCACGTGCTCCTGTATCAGACTTCATTAATCCCTCGGCTTCAACATATGATCGGAGGGAATCGAGGAGCCTCTGACAAATATATAGCTGAACACGGCTTCATGTTTGAGCTGTGTCTTAATTCCGTCCAGGAATACAAAGCACAAGGGAAAAGTGTGATTAGTGTTGTGTTTCCTGCCTCTTTAGTACGTTTATGTAACATGGAAGATGAGATAAGAGAAGACGTCTCAGGGTGGTAAACTGTGGTCAAACTACCACGGCCGAGACTCAGCTATAATGATGTAGTAAAACCGTTGCATTAGGGAATAGGCTATTCTCTGCAAGTACTTTTACTTTTAATACTCCAAGCAGAGCGTTTATTATTTAGTGGAAAAGTTCATGTTTTTTTTATATTAGAGTAAAAGTAATAACTTGCTTTTCAATTTACTTAACATGCTCTAATGGATATTTTAACATTACACATTCTTCATGAGTTTAATATTTCACTTGTACATACTGAGAAAAATAATCAGCAACTGTAGAAAGTTTTTAATGTTCAGTACAAATAAGCTACAAAAGACCATAAAGAGCTGTGAATATTTAGATGGCAGGTACACCTCTGCCACCACCTGCTGGTCATCTCAGGACATGACCTCATCAGGAATATTTACATAGAGTTGTCAAGAAACATAAATTATTTAAAAAAAAAAAAAACAGAGACAGAAGAAAATAAAACAGTATCTTCAACAGTTAGATATGTGTATGGAACAGCCCAGAATACGAAATCCATTGTCTTTCTCTCAAAAAACAAAGTCAGCGGATGCAGAACGAGTGGGAAGTGTAAGTCCGAGTTTACATGATTCCCTGAGGCTGTCCCTTCCCTGCGATCTTCTTGGAACACTCCAGCAGAGCATTGTGGATATCTTTGGCGCAAGAGATCTGAGACTTGATCATGCCGAGGTACTGGGCGTAAGACATGGACTCCGTCTGCACCGTGTCCGGCTTGGTGGCTGTTGGGACCAGGTTGGGTGAATGTTTGGCGCTGTCAATGCTCTGGGAAAGGCACTCGTAAGCCAGCCGCTGCACAGAGGAGAGAAGAGGAGTTTGACTTGAGTTGTAGGAGCAGTGTGATAATGTTTGGTATGTGTGATAACGTTTGTTTGAATTAAGACGATGTAGGAAAGTTTGATTCTGTAAAATGACAGCTTCCCTCTTTCTAAGCCTCATCTTGATGCTTTTGACAGTGTTATATATATGTATCTACATCTTTGCATTCATTAACACTCATCAACTTACACAAAGTCTTAATTCATCATTTGAAAGTTTGAAAGTTTGAGACTATGTAAAAGGAATGAGCACATCAGGTTAAATATACAACAGGTTAAATATTTCTTTAAAGTTCAGTTTAGTAGGAAGAAAGGTTTTCAAGTTTTATTTGTGTACAGAAATAAATATAATTGAATGAATGCAGAAATCAATAAGCAAATGAATCAGGAAAAGTCCTTTATGTCCTACTTCCACAACATTATCTTTTAAATTTTACATTTTTGTAAGGTTAAACATGTGTTTCAAATTACACTAATGTAATAAAGTGTGTTACTATCACGCTGCAGTGTGTGTGAAGCACATATTGCACACTAGTGGTACTTAGTCTTTATTCTATTCTATTTATTTATTTAAACACTTTAGTTATTGGACATAATTCAGTCTCAGATTGTGTTTGTTTTTTTACCCTTTTCGTGTTTTTTGTGATTAATGTGAAGTGGCTGCTGTGACATTGTAATTTCCCCTGAGATTCATTAAGTACTCTGTTTAAAGTCTCACCAAACACAGCTCCAGTTGATCGCAAAGGGCATAAAACTCCTCAAGGCTTTTGTCAAAGCGCTGAACAGAGGTGTCGCTGCTTTTACTGAAACAGAAGAAACAACAGACGCATTGACAAATCAGAAACATCCTTTCTTCAGAGATTTGTTTCAGGAAGCAGGTTTAGGAAACTCAAAGTCTAACACTGAATTCTGAGAAAATCAAACTCAAATGGTAAACTTATATATATATATGAATAAACAAACAAGACAGCTCCCCAAACTGAGCCTAAGTGTCTTGATTGCCACCTGGTGGCTGGGAGCAGTATAGGTGATAGATCCCACACTCTATCATAGTTTGGGATATGGACCAAACACAAAAATCAAAGTGCACGCTACACATTTTTCTCAAAGCTGGTTTCTGTCATTTCAGGTAGTTCTAATCACAACGATGTTTGTCCGACTGTTCATTTCTCCGGTAAGTTTGGTTTTGATTTGTTGGTTGATGCTTTAAAAACCGGGTGAAGCATCGTGACTGACAGGCTGAGACTGACTCGCGATTGGTGGGTGCACGTGTTGGCAAAACCTCAGTACTGTGGCTCCTCACCATGACTACAACCGAACAGACTCTGGTTCCTGAAGACATCAAAAGCACAAGATGGTGACGTCTGTAACCAGGATATTTTGGCTTCATTTTTGTATTATGGGAGGAAATGAAGACATGTTGTTCATCTTTATATAAAGTCTATGATCAATGCACATTTATGTAAAACAAAACAGCAGCTGCGTCTCACTAAGCTACTAACACCATGATGTTTTATCCAGTGTTGTCCACATTATTCAGCAGACTTTGATTTCCTTCATGGAGGATAAATAGATGTGATAGAAGTTGGATTCAGATGTGACCTGAGGTGGAGTAATGATGGTGGCTGCAGAAGATGATTAAATGATCAAACGGATAATAGCCTAGATACTTTTCTAGATCTGATTGTAACCTTGAAGTCCGACCCAGAGACAGTCTCATGATTTGAGAGATTTACAGCAGATGTGTGTTTAGTCTAAAACCAGTGCACGTTTTCAGTTTTACATATTTGAAACATTGTAAGATTATATTTCAATGTGTAGCTGAAACAACAATCCCAACATGAGAGACGAGTATTCGTAGATCAGTGTTATGTGTGGAAAACATGCCATGTTGTTTTCTTTAACTGTGTTAATGTGGAGTAGATGTTTCAGAGCAGGGCAACTTGTTGACGACCTGTCAGCTGTTTTCGTGCTCACAGTCAGTGTTGTAAAAGCAGAGTATGGACTTGAATCTGAGCTGCGGATGAAGACTGCCTCTGTCCTCACATTGGTCATCGATCGATCATGAAATTCACAGTTTCCCCTCATCAGAGGATGAACTCACTCAGACTTCAGTGAACCCTGGAGTTTACTCACATGCCGTTGTCTATCGATGTGTTATGAGCCAGATTCAGGGACGCGATCTTCATCACATTCTAGAAATGAAAACAACGTGTCAATATGTTGAGGATGCAGATTTGATTTATGCATTTGAGAAACTACAGCGATGTCGTTGACAGACTGAAGCCACAGTGTCCACACATCTCTTCGTGTGTGTGTGTGTGTGTGTGTGTGTGTGTGTGTGTGTGTGTGTGTGTGTGTGTGTGTGTGTGTGTGTGGGTCAGTTACCTGCAGACTCTCCTTCAGCTGTGGAATGAGCATCTTGAACCTGTGGACCGGGTCGAAGTCCTGCTGTTGACTCAGTTGTTGCTGCTGCTGTTGTTGCAGAGAGGCTTGTTGTTGTAACCCGGGCTGAGACATCGGTCCTCCGGTCTGCTGCTGCTGCTGCTGAGAGGCCATCTTGGTTGAGACCCAGTCAAGCGCCGGAAGAAGAAGAAAACATCCGGTGCGGCGTTTTTCAAAATAAATGTATTCTTTGGACGACGCCGTGTTTATTATAATGATTATTATTGTGATTATGGTTATTATTATTGTTGTTGTTGTTGTGATTTATTTTTGTGTTAATTTACTTTGTAAATTCAATGCAGTTTTTTTCTCCAGCCCAATTCTACCTTGTTTTACTTTTTTAATTTTACCTCCAGCTCCAATTTATATCTTTATTCTATTACATTTTTCTATGTTTTGTAAAATTAGAATAACACTGAGACACCAATGCCCCATAATGATCTTAGCTTTATCATAATTTTAAATCCTTCGAATAGAATCTGAGTTGTTTTGTCCACAGGTACAACTGAAATTCAGTTATATAAGTCCGAGCTTGTGACTCAGTGCATGGCTGGCTGAGGGCCACTCCTATGAAAGTATAGTATACACACACACACACACACAAAAGAGTCACTGAATAAAGAAAAGAAGCAAAGAAGAAAAAGTCAAAACATTGTTTACTAATAGAATTGTAAAAAACAGAATTAACTGTAACAGCTTTCTTCTTCTTCTATTAATGAAGTTCTTGAAAGTCAAAATTGGTTTCCGCACACTACTCTCAAAGTGTTAACAACTCTCTTTATCCTGAAGGTGAATTGTTTGTCCAATTGTCCTTATAATTATATGATGAAATAATCTATTATCTACATTTTGATTATCTATCAAAAATATTCCAGTATATATATATATATGATCAAATAAAAGACATATTGGTCCCATCAACTACAGCACAGAGCGAGGGTCACTCACTACTACTGACAGGAAATAAAACCTCGAGCATCCTGCACATTTAATAATAAGAATAATTAAACTTATAAAGACAACATAAATAATAATTATAATATAACGCTTGTCACAGATCAATTTACACCGTTCAGGTGTTTTTATATCACTGAGTACAGGATGTATTTGTTTAGTTTCATGTGTAAATGTGTCGCGGTCTGTTGAGTGGCGGATGTCGGTGGGTCCGTGAAGGCAGCAGCGGAGGAGGGAGGGCCCTGCAGCCGCTGTTCCCTGGCAGAAACCCCGTAGTTCAGTACAGCAGCGCCATTCGAAAACTGCAGCAGAATCCAAAATGGCAGGAGCTGATGGAGACGACTCTCTCTACCCCATCGCCGTTCTCATCGATGAACTGCGGAATGAGGATGTTCAGGTAGGAACTCTGGTTACAGCTGTAGTCGTTATTTATGTTTTACAGCGAAATGAAGCCATTTTCACCTATTCCCCAAGTCTGATGGCTTGCTAGCAGATAAGCTCGCTATCCTCAACCGCTAAGGCCTCTCAGAAATGCTGTGCCGGGCGCACCCTGGTTCACAAGTCAAGCTGATTCTCAATATTCATCGTTAATCCAGAGTATCGGTTGTTCCATGTTTTATTCGGTTGGTGCTTTAATGAAGTGAAATCTAATGTATTGAGTTAGCTAAGACAACCGGGTCATTGGTTTAGCCGCTAGCGTTTACGCACTGCTTGTAGCCAAGTAGTGCTAACTAGCGCTAAAGTTAGCAATCACAATAACAGTGCGTTCAAGGCCGCAGCAGGTAGATTTCAATGTTCTTAGCCTGTTTGATACTTGTCACCTAATTAAAAGCTAGCATTTAGCATAAGCTTTAACAAGACTCTCCATTTGAAGCGCTGTTTAATGTTAGCTAGCTATTTTGGCGGATATGTGAATCGCAGCCAAGAAAGCAGCTTTCCAGACATTTCTACCTGGGTCGCCAGCTTGCGATGGCTCTCATTGATTCTTTTACACTGGATGCCAAATCTGCTAATCTGTAGTTAACGCTATTCCTGCTTTGTGTACAGTTACGGCTGAACAGCATCAAGAAGCTGTCCACCATTGCCCTGGCCCTTGGAGTAGAGAGGACTCGCACTGAACTCCTTCCCTTCCTCACAGGTAAGAAAGTCAATCATCTTACCCATAAGTGTCATTGTCATAAAGAGAGGAGCTGTACGTTGTAAAACAATCCTTTTTTAACAACAGTCCAAGGTGTTACAATGGCTGATAGCGATGGTGTTTTCATAATTGAATCTCCAGTTTTACACGTGTTTCACGTCTTCCTGTCATCCCTTAGATACCATCTATGATGAAGATGAAGTTCTCTTGGCCTTGGCTGAACAGCTTGGCAATTTCACTATGTTGGTGGGAGGGCCTGAGTATGTCCACTGTCTCCTGGTAAGTTAAGTGGCATCTACTTCACTGGGCAGCTCGTCAATATATGCTTATGGGTAACACATTTCTGCCCCGCCTTTAGGCAGAAACAGAACATTTTTCTAATCCTATGAGAAGTGCATGTGGCCCACACAGCACAGTGCTATGTTTATCCGAGTGATTTAATTAATTTTTGGCAAGGATACAGCTCTTTGAAAAAGTTTTTAGCTGATAAGTTTGATGGCAGAGATGTTACCCGCAATGTCTACAGTAACACATTTTTTTATTTGGATATTATGGCAATATTATTGAAGATTGTTCCTCTAAATTGATGATTATGCTTACCTCAGCTTACACTAATGCAAAATACTGTAACATAAACAACTCAAGATGAATATTTAACTGTCCAAATCTATATAGACATCACCATATCATCATGTATGTGTGAGTATTTAAAGAATTGTGTCCCTATGTAACCTAATACCATCTTCCATTCTCTTGCAGCCTCCTCTGGAGAGTCTAGCTACAGTGGAAGAAACAGTAGTAAGAGACAAAGCTGTGGAGTCACTGCGAAAGATTTCTCAGGAGCACTCTCCAGTTGACCTGGAGGTCCATTTTGAGCCTTTGGTCAAGCGGCTCGCCAGTGGTGACTGGTTCACTTCTCGTACATCTGCTTGTGGCCTCTTTAGCGTGTGTTATCCTCGTGTCTCCAGCACTGTCAAGGCTGAGATTCGTCAGTAAGTGGCTTCCTAACAAAAGGAAACATATATATATATATATATATATACATACACACACACACACACACACACACACAGACGTGAGTATATACACATACTCACGTCTGCACATGCATCCACATAATATATTTTCATTACATTATTGCATATCATATATATATCTCTATCTAACCTGGTTTGGTTCTGCAGTGAGTTTTGTTTCCTCCAAACAATTTCTCTGATAAAAATGTCTCTGGTTTTATCTCTAGGCATTTCCGCACCTTGTGTTCAGATGACACTCCTATGGTGCGTCGTGCTGCAGCATCTAAACTGGGGGAGTTTGCCAAAGTCCTGGAGCTTGATTATGTAAAAAGCGACATTATTTCCCTCTTCACTGCTCTGGCCTCTGACGAGCAGGTACGGTCACTTAATTTCCACCATTCATTCTTATCTGTTATTACACTATAGGTTATACTTGTAAACCAGATGTGACCAAACTAATACCATTACATTTTTCTCTTAGGACTCAGTGCGGCTGCTTGCAGTGGAAGCATGTGTGAGCATTGCCACTCTGCTGCCCCAGGAGGACCTGGAGACGCTTGTGATGCCAACGCTGCGCCAGGCTGCAGAGGACAAGTCCTGGAGGGTTCGCTACATGGTGGCTGACAAGTTCTCTGAAGTAAGTTGCTTCCTTCTCGCCTTACTTTCTAGCTGTTACAGTTGAACAGCAAGTCATATTTAACAGTCCCTACCACTTTTTCTATTTTATGTAGCAATTTGGTTTACATTTGCATAATGACAGTCAGTGTCAAGCTGGAGCATCTTCCAGTTGTTGTTTTCACATTTGATAGTTAAGCTTACTGATTTCCCTTGCGAAAACATGTCTCAGACCCCCTTTCTGAAGTGAATTTACTGAGACGAAATAGTTGATTAGACTATGGGGTTGAACTTAAAAAAGTGCTCCTTGACTCTAAGGAGGATGATGCAGGTAAATTATACTGTGCCTTGCATACTGTTGTATGGTATACTGATACTAGAAAGGTATCACAATACCACATTTATCAGTGTTGTGTTTAATAACATGTATTCCCATCAGTTTTATCGTCTTGCAGCAGTGTGTTATTTGCTGCCCTGTTTACAGTCCCTGCAGGAATAGTGGGCATGTCACCCGTGTTTAGCTTTCATGATGACAAAACAAGCTCCTGTCGACTGTGCAATGCTTGAGGACAGGTCAAACCAACAAAGTATCTAGCAGACACAAATACTGACTGGGTTATGGTATTCTGAATAGGATCAGATTAGTGAATGTGATCCATAATTACGTCATGGCCACCCCCCCAAACATACAATAAATTAAGTGAGTTGTTTTCATCTCTTTAGCTAATTTAATAGGAGGTAAAAAAGGAACATAGTCTCCATGCTTCCAGAATTAACATGGGAACCAGAATAAATTCTCGCTGCTGTAAAATGTAGTAGAGTAATGCATCTTTTACTGGGTTTCTCTGACCAAGTTTGTTAACCAGACTGTTCTAATGCATTCAGGACTTTAGCATTTTAAATTGTGAGTGGGATAATTGCAAGTTTTCTGTATATCGAAGCATTGCAATGCTCAGAGCCAGACTTCCAAATTTGATGAATGATTTTATATAATCTTTTCATTCAGTAGGATTTTTTTATCGATGACCACCACCCTGTTACAAACTTTCAGTATTTCAGTTAACACAGACGTTGTTTCAATCATTGTAGATGTGTCTCCTGTTGTGTCTGTCATTGCCACCTTTTATTGTTGATTTGAAACTATAACCACCAAAATGCCTCTGTTATTTTTCACACATGATTAATCTGATTAATCTCGATTTCTGAATTTAGCTCCAGAAGGCAGTGGGGCCTGAGATCACCAAGAACGATCTGGTCCCGGCCTTCCAGAATCTCCTGAAGGACTGTGAAGCTGAGGTTCGCGCTGCTGCAGCAAACAAAGTCAAAGGTAGCTACACAACTACACTTAAATTAACCAAATCCCCAATGTCTCAACGAGAGGAATTTTCATTGGTTGCATTGAATAAGATGTTTCAG